CCGTGTGAGCAGTGACTGTATGAAGCCTAATTACTAAGCCTGAGTTATTCTTTTTCTTTGGGAAAGGAATCTCTAAGGTCCTTATTAAAACCTACAAAAATTCTAAAGAATGATGGAATTAGAATTGATTTGTCCATGTTGATCGCAAGCACAGAGCAAATAAAAATGTTGAGTTCACCCTGCAAAATACTAATGGAGGGTCATATGGGCATAGTTTACACATCACTATTATGGGCATAAACAGAAATCACCGTGCTGGATGACAAGATCTGGGAATAAAAGACTGCAGATTTTCAGGTAGCATGTATGCTTCTTATTGAAGACAAGAAAAATACATGTTTAGATAGGATTGGAAATGTCCTCTGTATTTCAAAAATATATCATAATTTACCAGAACAAATAGTTTGTGGTACAGGTCATTTTACAAAACATCCTTCTCAAATACACTTTTAGGCTGATCAGCTTTGTAAAATCAGACGTGAAAGAGAAAAGGATTTTTGCATGGAAAAATATATACTGATAGGAAAGAAAAAAAGAGCTCCTTAAAAAATGCAACAAAAATAAGCTCTAACTGAGCTTTGCTCTGAAATGCCCCAGAACATTTGTCAGGGGTTACTCTGATTGTGTTTTAGAGCACACTGACCTGACGAGGTGAGAAGGAGCCTTTCCCATGTGGAGGAGGTGCAGCTCAGAGTGCTCTGTAAGGGGGACCCAACTCCATTGTGGAGGAACTTCCAAGTCCTGCTTGCAGTTGCAGCATGGAAAGTGGATGAGGTCATTTCTTCGCATGCATCCCACAATCAGAGAGGGCAGGAAAAGACCTGAGATATTGCCTGTAACYGCAGACCTGTAACCCATCTGGACAAGTTCATGTACGGCGTGGTTAGGACTTGTAGATGAACACGGCAGCAGCTGTTTGCTGCTCTTCCCCAAAAGCTAACTGGCTTCTTTCCTATAATTAATACCTTCTGTAACTGCAACTTTGCTCAGTGACAGACCTCTCTGTGGAGTACCTGAGTTTGCAGCTTATACTTATGCTTTTTCTGCATCAGAAGTCACTGACCCCCAGACTGCTGATACCAGCTTTAGCTCCAGGGCTTGCTGCGGTGCTGCTGCTGTGTGAACTTGAACACATTGGTTCATTTAGCTACSAGCCTTATTTTCCTCAATAGGGAAATAATACTTAGCCTTCTTTTTAAAGTACTTAGCAGTATTTTAAGAACTAAATCATTTTCAGTGAGTGGCTTTCCTACTGTCCTACAGATAAAGTGCTTCAGGAATGCACACAGCTTCAGTGAGCTCTTATAGGAAGATAAGTAGCCAGGCAGAGGTGTGAAGAGCCCTATATCCAGTCCCTTTGGTCCTTTGTGCTCTTTGCAGTGAGCAGAAATTTCCCCAGGCTCAGCAACTCAGCAATGGCAAAGCCTGGCTGTGCATACCACACTAACCCTATGTGACTTGCCCAAGGTCAGGCATGGTCCCCAGGGCTGCTGACAGCCGGTGCTCCATGGCTGCAGCTGTGAGGCCTTCCTTCTTGCCTGCGTCTTACAGGAGATTTAATTCTGAACCAGAAAAAAACAATCCTCATAATTGGCACAACCTCTGTGAGAAAGTGAGCTCTCCTCATGAATCATGTTCTGGCGGCCAGGGACTATTTGCAATAAATACACTGTGCAGGGAGAAAGCCTCTGTATCTCATACATAGTATGACGTAAAATAACAAGCCTAAGAAAAGCTAGCTTTAAAAAGCAGCCATCACAGAGCAGTCATAGCTAGAAGCAAAGGAAAGGCTGAGTCGTGGCAGAATTTTGCTGACCTAAACCCACACACAACCGGATTCACACGCAAGTGATAGACCTCAAGGAGCTCACAGCTGTAATATATTGTTTAGGAAGCTAATGTATATGTATTCATTTCCTATTTTATATAATATTATATTTTTATATATTTACTGGAGGTAGATGTTTTCTCCAACTGGAATAAATTATTTTCACCCAAACTTCATAGTCCTCATATGTTTTTTCTTCCACGTTCTACTGTTTTCCTTCCAAACACACACTACAACGCTCTTCATCTTCATCTAAAGGCAATCTAATATTGCTTCTACAGGACTAATTCGAGGAATAGTGACAAATCAAAAGTATCTCAGAATTTACTTCTAAATCTTGAGGGGAACCCAAATTRCCATTGCTTTCCAAAGATACTGGAAAAGTCCCCAAAGTGCTAGAAGCAAGCAGCTGGTTTGCCAGCATTACAGATAATGCCTCTTTCTGACTTAAACATCTTTAACTTGGCAAAGAGATTCCACTTAAAAAGTTTATAATACTCCTTTTTTTTTTGAAGGCGGGAGCATTGTGTTTGTGCAAAGACCGAAAACCAGATTACCTGAACTTGAAATGAATGTCCAGTGCTCCTCCCTCCCTGACACACTTGCTTGAGACTGTGCTCCTCAACTCTGCATTTAGCTAAATSTCTCTGCAGTCAGGGCCAACCTTTTTTTCTTTTTCAGAAACATGGAATGGAAACACAGTGAGAGAAGACATGCCAACAACAACGCTCCCAGGAGCATCAGCAGCCCAGAGGGTGGTGGTGGTACATGGGAACCACCAAGGGAAACGGCKCTGTAAGGAACTAAAAACAGCCAGAAAATGCAGATCTTTTCCAAGCTGAGAGATATACAAGTTTTAAATCTGCAGTGATGAATGCAAAGCGTTACTCATGCTCCTACAGCTCTGCAAGCTGACGTGGTGGATGAGGTGAGGCAGCGCCGCATGGGGCCCTGGGGATCCTGCCCGGACGCAGGCACTGCAGGCCGGCTTGGTCTGGACAGTTTTGATCCTTGCTTCCTTTGCAAATCTATTAGACATGTGATAAGAAGATTAGAAAACCATCATCTTTATACAAAAGTACGTAATTTTTAATATGCATGTGCCTCTTTAAAGTAAGCAAAATAACTCTTGAAGGTTGTGCGCCTTTCACATTCTCTGATTGTCCATCAGTGATGCCTCTGCTCTGTCAGCAATCCCAATATACACAAACGTCTGACCTTTTCTCCAGATAATTTCCTTTTCATAATAGCACGAAGACACAACCAAACAGTGAGTTTCTACAAGGATTATTGCACTTCTTGGGTCGCTGGTGTAACTTGGCCTCTGGCCTCACGTCATGCCATGTACTCCAGAAATGCACTGCATTTTAGAGGTTATTGCTTGAATATTGCTGYTAGGCAAGTGAACGCTCCATATGCTGGAACAAATTCAAATGCCTCAAAAGGAGATATCTTCCTCAGCATTGCCATTCATGTGCTGTGGCTGTAAATTATGCCCAGAGTGTTCACTTTCTTTTTAAATGCATTCTCATCTCATAATAATTAATGGTGTCAAGTTACTGGTGTGAAAAAAGCCTGACTTTACAACAACTACGGACTAATGAAATAACAGTCATGGCTGGAATAGCAGCAATAAATTGTTAGTGAGGAGTGACATACCTGAAAGCGATACTTGCAAAGACCTTAAATTATTTAGGCTTTAATGCAACTCATAAATATTTGGCATTTGTTAACATTTGCTTCTGTGATAAACATGGAAGCCGGCATCACRGGCAGCTAGAGCTCTCATGCTGATGAACGTGGGGAAACAGCACACAACAGCACACAAGAGATGCTTTTCTTCCCCCATGAACACAGTGAGGGACAATTGCTCAGTCCAGCAACCATCTGTAGGACTTAGAGATTAACCACAAGCCAGGTACTAACACACCAGTCTGCTTGGTGGGACGGAAGGGAAGGAAAAGAGAGGGAAARGAGTATGGCTATCTGAAGAGAAAATCCAATTGCTTAGAAACCAGCCGACATGTGTGACCACTCACATTCTGGAGTGACATTTTCTGTTGCCTGACCTGAATGGAGAAAAGTTGCCTATACCTGGTTGCAGTGACTAGAAAGATCATTTCTCTGGAAGAAACTCATAGTTTGTGTTTAGCTACAGCAGTAAGTCCTTAYATCAACCTATGCTGCAAACTAGTCTGGAGTTTAATATTTTGGCAGGTAGGAGCAGCAAATCAAAACTCCATATGTATTGCAAGCTCTGGGCACCACACCAGCTTCTTCTTAGGTCTGTACTTAGACCATTGGCCCAGTGTGCAAAAGCAAAGCCTCAGATCTATTCAGACACTTCCATGACTTAGCTGAGATGCTGGAGGTTCAGAGACAAACATCATCTCTGAGTATAAACTTTTGATTTGGCTTCAGTCCTAAAGGACTCCATCAGAATATAAGTGTGTTCTGGATCCAGGTCACCCATTTATTCAAGCTGCTTCTTCAATGCTTTCTTAAATCTGGACACATGGAGAAAGGTATAAATCTATCTCTAAATATGCCCTAAAGGGCACATGCCCCCTTTTAGCATACMAGAGCACCAAATTTATGGAAAGACAAGTGCATATATCCCGTTGACAGCACTCTTACATCTCCTTTTTTCTTCAGTAACTTAGGAACTTTGGTAAATTTTTCTCTTCAGGGGAGAAAAAAAAAACTTTGTGTGGATCTACAGCCGAAAGTTAGAGCTCATGTGTGCCCAAATCGCCCTGTTTTATAAGCTGCTATCAAGTGAGAAAATCTGATGATGGTGTCCATTGAAACAATCAAAATCAAGTATTTTCAACACAGAGGCACATTTGATTACATTTTACATTCAGTCCATTTTAATACTCAATATTAGAACTTTGTGTAATAACATGAGACACAAGACGAAGAACGCCAGAGCTCTGCAGCTAAGTTGGGAGGGGGGAAAAACTCATTTAGAGTATTAGAAAGTTTTTATTTTATATCAAAGAAAGAGCACTGCATCAGGCTTTTGGAGAAAAAAAAAACCATCTAATAGGAAGTAAAAAAGGGAGAAATATGCTCGCTCCCTCTCTCAATCTTRCTGTAAATTGCTTGCTGAGATAAAAATGTGACTGCTGATCTCAAAGGAATTATACCACTTTGTAACAGCTGAGGGTCTAACACACAATTCCCAATAATTTTGATCAATTCACCAGCAAGGTGTTTGGCAGAAAAAAATACTTAAAATGTTTTCTAGTACACTGAGACATAAGACAGCTAGTAAGGTGAGACTTGGTGATAATTCCAGAGCTAGTGCAGACAGAGAAATCCATATCTAAAAGAGCATAAGAGAAGCTCCATAGGAGGCTTAGCTGAGTATTGTGTTAGAATTCAAGTCTAATTTTTTTTTTAATATATTCAGAGGTATTTGGATTGGATGTTTTGGTTATAGATCAAAAAAAGAATATGACTATTTCTGGCCATATGTATAAGTGGTCATTTTTTATTACCAGCATGTATTATGATGAAATATTAAGACTTACTCACAGCCAGTTTGCCTTGCAGAAGTTAAAATCCCTCTGAAAGTGGCAAATATTMCTCAAAACATGAGGAAAGTTCAGGAAGTTCAGACATACAGTGAAACTGATAAACATTAACACATTTCTGTAAAACAAATAGGGCCCAATGAAAAGACTCCAATATCAACAAGAAGCTTTCCAAAGTAATAAAAGGTCTGGCTCTTCTTTTTCCTTTAATATCTTGTTTTCCAGACTGCATCTTTTCTTCACTGCATCCTCAGGGCAGCCTCACACTGTTCCTTTAGTTCCATCAAGGTTTGCATGAGGCTGTGGTCTACTCCATGGGTCACCTTCATAATAGTATAGGCCTTGAGGAGAGAGCAGAAAGGGACGCATGAGTCACTGTGCAGCCTACATGAAGGATTTGGGAATGGCAGTGGGGCACAGACATAGCAGTGGTGCTTRGGGGGTGGGAGGTAGCCTTACTGCATGGCATAGCAGCAGGAGGGAAGGGTCCCAGAGTGTGTAATGATCTGTCTCTGACAGGGAAGGAGGTACTGGGTTATGATCCCTAGGTGGTCAAAAATTAAAGCCCACTAACACGTTGCACAGCTGGATTTTTGGAATAGCTGGGAAACGTACTGAAGGACGCAGATGCTTTCAAGATTTCATTCATTATGCTATCCAAGATCTTGACACATTATTTTAAAAAGCTACTAATAGTTTCACTGTAAAAGGCATGGATGAGGAATGGTCCTTTGCTGCTTTTCCCTAAGGGATCATTTTCCATGTCTGCTGGGCATCTTACACTGCCAGGCTGATTCAGGCTTATATTGCCTGTTGTGGTGCTGATTCTCCACCACATACATGCCTGAAATATTAATCTCCCAGCTCACACTGAGATCATCACTTTTCATATGGAAGTTCTGCTTCTTCCTTCTATTAAAATCCTCATGTAAAGAGATAAGTAACAGAAGGAAAGGGACTCAATACTTTAGAAGTAAGAGCAAGGCAGTTCCAAGTGTAGTGTTAGGAGAAAAAAATGACAAAATTATATTTTGTACAAAATTAATTTATAACAATTAAAAAATCTTCATTTTTTTGCATATGTCTATTTTAGCAGAAACGCAAAGCTGGTCATATTTTTGCAAACCGCTTGCAATAAAGTCACAATTATATTTCCCCAAAAGTCTTGTCATAGTGTTCATGGTGTTTTGTTTTTCTTAATTTAACATGTTGTGGAAGTGCTGTGGAAGCAGGTTGTAAAAGTACTTCAGCATAGTTGAGCGTGAAGCATCACGCTGTACAATGACACATTTTAAGAAATATACAACTGAAAAAGCAGTGTAAAGCCTAAGAATAAAAGCCAGTCTGCAGCTGGCATATACAACAGGATCTGAAAAATGGACGTTATCACCATATAGGAAGCCCTGGATGATACAGAGCAGAACACCTTAAGGCAGGGTCCTGTGCATGCTGCTGTGTGGGAAAGCAGCAGCCTGGGCTCACGGATTCTGTGTAAACTTTATTAACACAAGTTAAGCTATCATTAAATTAGGTAGGCATTTTGGCAAAAGTCTGTGCAAAATTGCTATGATTTCACTTCCGAAACAATGTGGGTTTTTTTTCCTGTCCAGAAGCAAGAACATGCAGAACACCACCCTACTCCTCCAAATCTCCCGACTAAGCAGCAATCACAGAGTCTTGTGGTCTGTGTGGTCTTCCTCTCGGCTTAAGGAACAAATCTAATTATGAAAAATTACAGGAATTGTGAGACAGCAACACAGGCCATGGTGTCATCAACCACACACAGTCTCCCTGGCGAATATAAAACCCATTAGGTGAGTGGTATGACGGTTACTTCATGAATGCAAATGAAACTTGTGCCTAATTTGCACAATTTTGGGATGAGAGAGCAAACAGCCCCACATGGAGACGGCATGAAGTGGGGGCCTGCAAACTGGGGAAGGTCTCGGTGCTTCTCTGTCTCCTCTGACCGAAGGGAGCACATGCTAGTGCAGGTGCAGGGCAAACAAATGCAATCCCAGTTACTGCCAATGGCAGCCTGCTGGTGTTTCCCAGCATTTGAAGTGAACATCTAGATCACAGGGATTTCTTAACTGCTGCAGTGAAACCTAGCAGAGTTTTGACCCCACTTCTAGTGCTTTTGCCTACATGTCAGGGATTACAATAGAAAGGGGAATGATGGGGTACCAAAACAACTGGCCACCATGATGCTTGATGTTCACAAACGGTGTGACAAGCCCTGAGCTCTGTGCGTGGAGGAAGAAACCAAGCCATGGACGTGTCACACTGCTCAGGAGGGTGGTGGGCAGACCGCACGCGTGGGACCTCTGTGCTGGACACAGTCATGGTGGGCCCAGCACTGTGGGGTGGGTGCCAGGGGCCCGAGCTCCCCACTGTAGCTGCCCAGGAGTCCCCCGGGCCCTCCCGTCAGGGCGGGAGGTGAAGGGCCCCTCTTCCCCACACGCATTGCAAGGGGAGCTCCTTGAGCTCCAGCGATGCCCAGCAGCTCCTGCACTCCTGCAAGAGAGCTGCCTTCTGGGCATGATGCTTTCTTTTCTCTGGACACAACAGCTTGCTGTACCTTTTGTTTTTGCCATTTTTTCTTCTAACAATCAGCCCAGGTGCTTCAAATTAGGTAYGTCACGCTGGGCTACCTTCTGCTGACAAAGGTTTTCCTCATCTGTAATTTCATGTGACTTCCCACCATTACTTTTTATATATATATATAGATATATAGATATACACGTACACGTATGCATGTGTATGCATGTATATTTTTTTAAATATGCTATATATTTTTAAAATTAGTTGTTTATATAATAAACCAAAGGCTAACTTCGGGTTTTATTGCAGCGCATTGCCTCCTTGCAGCACTTCCATTTCCCAAACGTGSCAAATTATGTTCTGCAGGGCTTCATACACCTTAGGATTGCAAATTTCATCCTAGTGGGTAACATAAAGCCCTTCACGTTATTTAAAGCTTCTTCAGGAGAGCTAAAACGAAAGGGTGCCCACGGCAAGGTGGCTGTGTTAACGGAGGAGAGCAGGGAGACACCGGTCACTGACCTGCATACCAAGATGTGCTGGTTCTTAACGCYCTGCACATCTGAGGCAGAAAAGGCTGTCAAGCCACAGCAGCCCAGAGGCTGAGCCTGATTAAACAGGATTGATATGAGTGAGGTGAAATTCACTCGGATCTCAATTCCTCCTGCATCATCCACATCCCTCTCCTTAACGCCATGCTGAAATTAGCCTGACGAGGGCTCCRACAGGGTGCTAGTCAGTGTCAGAGCGTATTAAGAAAAGTAATGAAGCAGAGCAGGCAGTCGCGTTCGTGCTCCGAGCGTGTGGCATACTGTGTTGACACATCTAATCACACAGGGCCAAACAGAGTTCTCATATAACTCTAGGACATTATCTGAGTTTTATTAGGAATCACATCCGTCCTCACAACAAACTGGGAATTATATCTTGCTTTAATTTGCTCYGGTATAGACAGCAATAAAGGGAATCAGCCTCAGATCCCAGTCAAAGGAGCCTAGTGTCCTATGCTTACAAGTTGCACAGGGAAGTAGCATGGCAGTCCCAGGGAGTGGGAATTCAGTCTTTCCTCATCTTATTTGGGTGAAAAGGGGGGAGGCCAAAAGGAAATGGACAAACCACAATGAGATTAGTTTGTAAATAGTTCCGCATCCCAGCTGCAAAGCACTTACTGTGTCCTTGTGGACCACTAATGGCTTGGAGACCATGGTTAGAGATGCACTGAGGTATGGCACAGAACAGTAAATAGCTCATTAGTCTCCCTTCCAGAGGAAGAGGTGGTCAAAGCATGAAAAGATGTTTCTGTGCTAGGTAGTGCTCTGTATTCAGTGGCTAAAAGAGGAACAATCTGGCTTAAACTCAGCARCCTCACTAAGCACATACAAAAATCCATCACAACTTCTACCTTCACTGATGGTGATTGAAGAAATTCACTCTGGTTTCATGTAACAGCAGAGTATCAAATCAGAAGAGTAAGCAAAATGTGTGCATGCCTGTTAATACGCTGCAGAAATATCAATGAAGGCAGAAGCTCCTCTGACTGATGGTTTACTCCAACTACTAAAAAGGAAAATCTGAATGTTTTGAAGTTATAAATATTACAGGGGAAATAGCAGAGGAGATTAACTGGCAYATGACAAATGCATGGTTTACTTTTGAGTAATGAATAGGAAACAGAATTGATTACTCTCCCATCAACTTTTTAAAGATCGGAATTGGCCACAATTTAAGTTAAGCATATCAAGGGWTGATTTAAGTTACTAAGATTTAGCAAATCAGTCATCATATGAAATACTGATTTATTATTAAAACATCCGGAAATTATCAGTCATTCAGCATGCATAATTAATCACATGTTGATACCTAATAAGTGTTGGGGTTTCAAAAGTAACTACAAAGTACTAAGCCGTCCATAGAGTCRTGGCTGATATTAACATTACAGGAGTTCCAGGCAGGTGCAAGGATCCGTCCTCCCTCTGGGCCCCACTTCCAGCAGTACTGACCCTCCTTGCCTTCTCTCTTCATCAGCTGCCCTAAAACAACCAGCTTCATGCACCAGCAATATTAAACTAACGGGACACATAGCAAATTTTCGCACTAATATAGGGTTAAAATACCCATACTTTATTAGTGCTAAAATAATATAATAGTGTAAATGGAGAAGCCACAGGCTCCCATGAGATCCCAGGAATTGCTGGTTTGTGTAAATTGCAACTATTTTACTGTCAGTTCTATGAATAGGGCATAAGCTATCAATTTCTGGCATTCAGTTTTAGACATCCGAGAAGAAAGGAGGAGGGGAAAACAGTGACAATTTGTGCTAGAAGCTCCTGGGTTTCCCCTCTTCCAAGAGAAAATGATTCTTCTCTGTCGTCTTATGGATAAATACACTGTAAGATGTGAAATACCCAAAAGGCATCAATATCATAAAAAGCTGCTTGCACAGGACATACTCCAATATCCAAGACATCTACTGGTGACACCTTAACTGCTGCATACCTTACTCTCCTGGCCACTAAAAGCTTAATGCTCACCTGCATTGGTGACACTGCTCACACCCTTCCTACCGAGATATGGATCCCCTTAGATGGCTCCTAGAAAAGCCTCCAGAGAGGCAGGGGCTTGAGCTTCATGTTGCTGATGCGCTAGTGACATGGAGATAACAGTGTTTATTCTGCTTTGCTGGCTTTCACCGTTTGCACCATCTCCTGGAATCAGGTATTTGTACAGGATTCACACCTGCTTCAAGGGCAGTGGTGGACATGCAGCCAGGAGCTGTGTCTGGCTGCACACACACAGGCTGTGCTCCCAGGGAGCAGCCACTCCAAACCTCCTCCAGAGRGCCGTGCCACCTCACCCACAGCTTGCCTAGGTGGACACGAAGGCTGGAAATCTTCCGTGGTTCTGCATGTGAGCAGTGACCAGCTCAGGGCAGACTCAGATGCAGTGAGAGGAAGAGCATAAGGCACCTCCTTAGCAGTTATTTTCCATTCATGCACTTCTGAGCTACTGACCTGCAAATAGCAATGAAGTCTGTCCCTGAAACACTGCAAGCAGCCACGACCTGTCACCACATTCAGCTACAGCACCGACAGAAATATGCTGAGAAGTACTCAAAGCCATAAGGTACAGTCAGAGCGGAAGGGGACACAGCAGATCCAGGGGATGCAAAGGGAAGCGGGGAAGGAGAGGAAACACAGTCCATAAACACTGACCTGTTTCAAGGTCTCCAGGGCTTGCGGGAACATGTCTTGACTATACTGCAGCTTGCCCACTCGCATCAGCTGGACTGCCCTCAGTGGATGGAAACCAGGATAATAGAGTCTGCAGGGAAAAGGGAGAGAAGATGTGTCACCCTGTCAGCTCTCACCTTCACAGTCGCTGCCTCTGTGGAGAGCTATTAGGGTGGGACCGCAAAGTCACTGTGAATGTTAATAAGGTACTCAGAGAAAATTAGCTGCAGTATTGAGCAGCATGAAATACTGAGGGGAATTAACAAATTATTACTCTCCATCTCAGAGGAATGCCTTTAACATTATCCTGTTAGAAGGGACAGGAGGGGGATTATTTCATTCACTACTGTTGTATAATACAATAGCATTTACTGTTCTTGGCATTGCAAACAGGGGTTTTTCACAATCCCAGCGTCCCTAAAAAGGGACAGTCTTAAGAGGAAGATTCAGCAGGGAAACCAGCTCTGTATCCTCCAGGACAAAGGGAAGGGCTGCAGGGAAAGCAGCTACGTAGCATCAAGGCCACCGTTTTTCCAAGGGTTTGCATGCTGCTCCCTGCTGCAAAAAGAGCTGCATGTTCAGGGGAACAGCTCAGACTTGGCTGGTGCACCCACCCTATCTGTTACCTGACTGCAGGGAGAAGAGCCACAAGCTCCTCAGAAACCACTCTTTGGACATATTGTCTTTATGCTTACACCAAATCTATAATCACAGACTTCAGGGGAATTACTAATAAATGACACCACTGTAAGCAGAAAGACACTTAAATCTACATAAATATAATTAAATACATATTAAAACATTAAATGATTTAAATATGTGCAATATATAGAAGCCTTCTGATAAGCCTGCATGCAAAAAAAGGAATGCTAATCTTTCTCCTTCATTATTTTGCACTGATGAAAATGCAATTACAAGTAAACAGAAGCAATTGTTTAAAAGGCAGTGAATCATGTTCTTCTTATAAAGCTCAAAGCAAGACATGTAAACATCATGGGAAATATTTTCACATCCCCAAGCCCTTTTTCTGCTCATTTCATATATTTTCACTGAAGATATGCAGAAATACATGGGAAGCAGCCTGGCAGGCTCTCAGGAGCAACAGCTCTCGATTCGTCAGAGCCTCCCATAAAGCAGCAGAAACCAACTCTTCTGTGCAGAGACTCCAAGACTTTGCAAGACCTGCACAGACCTTGCAGAAAAAGACTGCAAGACCTGCACAGTGATACTTTCCAACATCCCATTGGGATACAGTCAGAAAAGGTCTATGAGACAGTAGACTACCAAGAAGAAGGACATATCTCAGTGCAAACTGGTCAGTCAAGAACTTCAAAGATCCAGCTGAACAAACATCTTCAACAAGTTTACTGTTAGGATGATTACATCAATTAACATTGTGCTATTTTCTACTGGTTAAATAGGGAGAAAATGCCAGGGAGAGCAAGCCAGAGATTTTGATGCAAGTTGCTGATCAGTATTAGAAATTGAAGAGATAAATTAACTGTACCACATGCACAGGTGCTGCTTCCCCTGCAGCCGCCCCAGGCATGGCAGCTCACACATAGGTAAACCCAGGCTATGTCTCAGTTAGCTAGTGTGGGGCTTGCTAAGGCTCATCAGAAATCAGGATGTGCCCCTGCATGCAAACACATCTCTTTCGATAGAGCATACGTTCACATGCAGTCAATAAACATTTAGGATTATGGTGTATGTGATACCAGAGAAAACAGGAGGCAATTTAACAATGTCWGCAGCCCAGTCAAGACTACTAGCAGCCATAAACCAAAGCAAGTGGAAACTGAAGATGAGGACACAGGAGGAGTAAGTGTGAAACAAAGAGCCCTGTCTTCATAAATATTTACCAAGCTATTTTACTGTGCTGATTTATGTTCTGAACTTACGTATGTATACAGTTACATTTTGTGAGCGGTAAGTTTGACATTTGAAACAGCTATTTATTATTATTTTCTTGAATAAATCTGTTAAATATTGGAACACCTTCTGCAAAAGCACATCTATTTAGTGAGTTTATTGGAGAAATCCAGGCAGCTTGCATCTCTTCTGGGAGATGTATAAGTAGGCAAAATGCTGTTGGCTTCTTCCAGGCATCCCTGTGATTCAGTATTATAAAAAACTGGCATGGCAAAAAGGTCTAAGAAGCAGTGTCAGGTAGCAGTGAGCCAATCTATTATCCCCATGTGTTGCTCTGAACAAAACAAGTGGATAAATTTAAGACTAAGGAAGACATTTGCCAGCCAGGGAACTGGTACCTAAAGTCTGTCAACAAGAGATTAAGACAACTACACAGAAATACATGCTATAAAAATATTACAGCTTGGGAAGAGTAGGATTTCAATCTGAAAAGGATTTTATGAGATTTACCAAGGCCTAAGAGACAGGAAGAGGAGCAGTAACATACCGACAGCTGAAATAAAGGAATATGGTTCTGTGGTGATGTGTCTGGTCCCTTGGCCCTGGTCAGTGCTCAACAGTCCACTTCCAAGGACAGATTAAAAGGCATGCAAAAACTAATAAGCACAGCTGCATGATAAACAAAAGAAYTGCAGCAGGCTGAGAAAGATCCTTAAATTTTGCCTCACATCCTCTGCTTATGTAAGTCAACAGARCTTTCCTCCAGCCTATTAAATACAGAGTACATGCTGCTCATCCCTGCAGCCTGCCCAGGTCCCTCTGAGTGGCAGCCATGCCCTCAAGACTATTGGAWGGTCCCCCAAATTTTGTGTCACCTACCAAGCTGATGAGAGTGCTTTCTGTCACYTCCTCCAGGTCTCTGATGAAGATGTTRAACAGGACAGGTTCCCTGCAGCATCCCAATTGTTACCAGCCTCTAAGGAGTGTGCCAACAATGAACCAGAGCCCAATCATCCATTTTTTTACCCACCCAATTCTCCACACATCAGGACTGTAATACCATAACTTGATACACAACATTGTGGGAAAAAGTGTCAAAAGTCTTATTAAAGTCAAGGTAAATTATATCCACCCTCTTCTCGTCCACAAAGCCAGTTATTTTATCATGGAAGGCAATCAGGTTTGTCAGACATCCTGTACAGTTGCTGAATCCATGCTGACCATTCTCAGCTACCACCTTCTACTCCATGTGCCCAGAAATCTGTTCTACAGGACTTGCTCCATGGTTTTCCCCAAGCGTCCAAAATGAGACTGAAAGAGCTGTAGTTTCCCACCTCGTCCTTTTGACCTACTCTGAAAATGAGTGTAACGTCTGCCTTTCTCCAGTCACTGCCAATCTCCCCTGATCTCCTTGATCTTTCAAAGGTATCAGTGAGCAGTCATGCAAGGACATCAACCAGTCCTCCCAATGCCCTTGCTCGATGCAGCCCAGCAGGTCCTACGGGTTTGTAGGAGGTTGTGCTTAGTCAGGTAACCCTTGACTTGAACCTAGTTAGTTCTCCTTGAATCCATTCATAAAGCATGAAGGCCTAGGTAAAGACTAAGGCAAAGATGGCACTGCCTACCTACCAATAAAACCCTCAAATGAAATATATTTCCTAGTCTTCAGGTAGCTTGTGCCAATGTTTCACTACACCAGGAATCAGCAGTTCCTAAGTTTTACTTGCAAAACAGAAGAATACCAATTTTCACTTGGCAAGGATATGACCTGTACTTTGTAAAGCAATATCTGTTTTTAAACAGTGTGAAACTGATAGCTCTTATTTTTAATTCAGTCTGAATATTTTATCAGATTAACCTCCAGGGTTAAACACATACTTCATGATGAAAAATTATTTTTCTTTGTTTTATATATCTATATTAGCTCTTAATTTCTTAAAGTAGTCCTCTGTGTCTCTCTGTATGGGACAATGTAAAAAGGCAACCTTTGACAAATGTTAGGTATGTTTCTTCTATTTCTTAATTCCAATGTCATTAATTCTGCTCAAATTTTCTCTCATGATAAAGTAAATAATCAGAGTTTTTGTGTTCTCTTGTGAATTTAAACCTAATGTTAAAAAAGACTATGCAAAATTGCTGTCCCCTCAATGTTTCCTACTTTACAAAAATAGACCCCCTTCTATGTCCAGTAAATCAAGCTTCAGGGTTAACATTGACACCTCTGCCTTCAGCTTGATATAATTAGAAGCAGGTAAGATTTATAAAGCCTGAAATAAGGGTTTAAAATGGAAATGTTATAAGAGTCTAATGTGGTGACAAGCAAAAGGTGGTGCTATACATGACTGCAAGACTGCAAATTTGTTTGCAGTACCTTATAGTGCAAGTAAATATGACAGCATGAAAGACGTAAAGCAGCTTTAGGGGCCCTAGCAACAGAGAAGGAATTAAGAACAGGCTCCTGGGCTTGAGGAGACGTAGTGAGCAGAACRCAAAGGGGACAGCATCAGCCTCCTGCCACAAACAGACCAGCTGAAAYGGTAGAAATATTCACTACAAATAAAGCTGCCAGTAGGTTCAATTCCATTTCCTTTTTCTGACTTTTTCTTGATTTAAGAGCCATTCAGTCTTTGAATGTTGCTCACATAACATAATTAAAGTTGCTCAAYTAACAGTACTGTAGGAAATATCTTTGTTTTGTATTAGTTGTTTGGATTATTCAGTGAGGTGGCACTAGTCATCTAATTCACACGGTGCTTTTTTACTCTTTGTATGGATGATCAGTAGGTTTCTAAGTATGAGAGTTATGAGAAGCATTTTCTGGACAAACTATTCTAAAAAATATGAAATATTCAGCATCTAGCAACATTTCCAGGAAGGGATCATCCATTTTATGAATATTCAAACAACTAAGACAGGTAAACTAAACACATAAAATTATGGATTTATATCCACAGGGATAGTGCTATGCTTGTTCAGTCTGATCTCCTACATGAATTTCACCTAGCTATTCCATTACCAAAATGAGCAGTCTAAGGCAGGAATAACRCATAACCAGAATTACATGTTTATAGAAACTATAAAATACTTAATAGCTTTGTAAATACTAAATAGTTAAATAGCTTTGTAAATTTCAGTATTTTTTAATAACAACCAGCCCCACTCAACACTTTTGTCCTGGACAGAACAATGTTACAACATGTTACTGAATTGGACTAAATG